GGGTTCCTTCGGTATAGATGACTTGGAGACAATCACAAATGTGGCAACCCTGCATAGAAATGGCCGAACAGGAGCGCTAGAGCCTTGCAAAGACACCTTCTATAGCTTCAGTTTTCCCCGCCCGTAGCAGCTGTTTTCTAGCGCCCCCTTGTCTGTTGCGCCACCTTTCCTCCTATTCGCGCTCAGTCTCTCATTGCCTTGGCACAGCCGCCTAACAAAAATGGGTCAACTGTTAATTTGAACCTTTCTGACAAACTCTTTTCCTTTTTCTTTACTGCAGGCCATTTTACACCCATAATTTCATGTTGTGCAAGACCACACCACTTTGATCCTGGGCATGCATCAAAGCTCTGATTGCGTAAGAAAACCGGACAGCAAAAAGAAGGGTATGGCGCTCCCGTCGTTAGGGGGTACATTGAGGTGAGCCACTTACAGGACTTGGGTTTGAGCTTCAACTTGGGGAAGGGATTCTGGTAGAAGAATGAGCAACGTTTGATCCACTAGCGTTTCTCCCCTTTTTTGAGCTTAGTCCTTGTGTCACCTGCGAGAGATTTTTGAACGCACTATTTTGAGTGTCTCCCCTAAGTACTAAGTACATGAGCGCAGAATTCAATCCAATTGCAAAAATCGCAAAGGTTATCGTGGCTCCGGCATAGCATACGACCCACATCTTTCCTTCCTCTGCGTGCTTCCTCGAACACCTCAAATAGGAACGATACTTTATTGGAGAAGTTGCACCGAAGCGAACTCGCTTCTGCATTTCCTCTTACAAAATGAAAAGAAGCATGCACTTGAATCTAGGTAAAGAAAAACCAGTAACAACGTAGAAGGCAAGAAATGGACATTGCATTACGGGCTTGAATTGGTCTTTACATAGAACCTCTAATTGATCAGGAAAAGCTAAGAAATGTACAATAGAATCTACCCATTGGGCTTGTGTGTTCCCTCTTATTGCTGTTGAAGTGCTCTTGAAACCTCGCTAGAACGAACGCAGACTAGAAAACAGAACCGAAGGAAAAAACAGAACCGGTTAGTAACACAACATCACAGCCAACTCAAACCCCGCAACGTCTATCACATAGGAGATGCAATTTATCTAAGGTAAATGCTTTCGGCAATTATTCTGGTCACTTGGTATGGATCGCAGTTCGACGACGGACGCAACTTGGTAGGACGCAGTGCGCACGACGGAAGCCTATGTCCAATAGGCCGAAATTGTTTCAAAGTCAGCCATGGGAAAGGAAGTTTTTCAGTGATACTTTGGTCAAAAGAATGAACGCAGTCCCGTCACCTTTCCGTCCTGCGCGACACTCTCGGATTCTCACCGACGCTGCTCTGTTAGCTACTCCCCAGGTGAACTTATCATAAGAGCTTGTCTCGTGTCTGCCAGTAAGCCTAAAACTCAAAGTTGCCCTATCTGAATGAGACAGAGCCTTTGTGGGAGCCTTTTGAACCTCCGCCCCCCCACTGCAGAGCGCTTCAGGGAGCCACAGTTTGTGACGAAACTTCAAACTCTACTTATGCTTGTTGTCCTCTCCACACATGGGGATTCGTAACAGTATATTGCTTTCCTGTGTGTGGCCGCCGTCGGCATTGCTTAAAGGAAAGAAGGGTTTTTTTATCGAGGGAAAACAAAACCTTGCATAAATGTAATGTGACTTGAAACGTTTGGCCCGCTTCTTCTCAACCAATTTACTATAACGGTCAGATCCACAGCTCGCCTGTGAGGGCGAGATTGTGAAATCAAGGCATAGGGGAAAGACGAGAAAACCTACGAACTGACAAGGGGGGCGCTTCAGGAGTGTGCAGCTTTTGCAAAACGGTCTTTTGTATGATTAGGGCACATGCGGTATTTGTAAGGGTTACTGACGGTTCCTAATCATGAATATGGTACTAATTATTCATGCTAACTCCATTTTGCGCGAATTTGGAAACGTCAACTCGAAATGCAAAAATTTGTCACCACGAGGAATCGAACTAGGGACCCCTTTTCTGGTATTCAGAGGGCCGTTCAGGAAAAATGAACCATGCTTCTGTGGTCCCCATATGTGCCCCAATGTCATGCAAGGAACCATTTTGAAAAAGCTTGGCACACCCTGAGCGGACCACAACTTGTGAGTCTGCTCTAGGACGATTGGGCGAGATGACTCAAGAGCTGGACGCGTTACTTGGTCTCAAGCGGAAAAAATGATAGTCCATGAAGACCCTACGGAGTGTAATATGACTAATGGTATAGGGTTATGCCTCGAAGTCTGAGTGCCGCAAACGAGCGTAGTGATTTAGCTTCGCCTCCTTCTCCGATTCCAATCCGAATAAAACGGAACGGAAACGGAAAAAATGCGACATAACCACGAGATAAACATGAAAACCCGGACAAGCTCACCAATTTAATGCGCAGGTTCAAGGTTAGGGTCAAGGTCGAGGTGTTTCCAGAGTCACGACGAGAGGAGCAAATTTGACTCCCTCAGAAGGGATAGAGGGTCGAAAGCACAGCGACGACCACTGAATAAACCCGCGCTTGCATTCTCAGAGGCGGATGAAACAGAGCTCACACTTCTGAGGGTGAATCTTGAGACTATTGAGACTAGCCGCAGATCGTGCTACCTCCAAGCTAAGGTAAGAGAATGCTGCATATGCAAATGAAATCATACCGCATTTATTGGCGCTATAAGAGGAAAGAAAACTACACTCACGGCCTCAATTATAGCTAGACCACCTTCGTTACGCATTTCCTCGGTCGAAAAGTTGCAATGGCAACCAGCTCCGTTCCAGTCACCCGTTGTCACCTGAAATCACTGATTGTTAAAGAACATAGAAAACGGCTTCAAAACTGCGTTTTCAACTAGATACCCATACAGAACACTGAAACCAATCTTAACCCAGAGCTTAACGTGATCATGAGCTATCGTAAGCGATGGCAACTTCTTTGAAATAATCTTATTTGTATTCACTACAGGAAATGCAAAAAAAGAACCAACCGCAGGTTTTGGATGGAACGTCACGCTCACTCCGAACTGTTCAGCAACGCGGTGCAGAAGGTAACGAGCCATCCACAATTCATCACCCATAGAAATGCCTTCACAATTGCCTAATTGGAATTCCCACTGACCCGGTGTCACTTCTGAAATCCAATCAATTCTTTAGAGAAATTGGTCGTACTAAACAAGTGGGCGGGACCCTTGGTTATTCCTAAATAGGGGATGTGCACAAAATGCTCTCATCTACTCCCCTCGCACTCGCCATTATCAGCTCCCAGCTTTTTTTTTACCTTCCTCACTATAGCTTGTACTCTTAGCCCTTCCCGGTCACGATACCTCAATCGCGGCGTCACGCGGAATCTGGCATTGTACCGTCAGACGCCTCGATTGCACACGATGGTACAGTCCAGTGTACTCGCATCAGTCCATGTTTGAGCCCTGATCCAGTTCTTTTTCGCGGTCAACCGCTCCGTAGGGGGAACTTTCAAAATCAGGACGATCGTCCTCCTGCTCAGCCAACCCCTCAAATACGATTCCCTCGAAAAATCACAAACGCTACCCCTTTCCAAGAACTAGAATGCGACCTTCTATTTGCTAGCTATTTGGCCATCAGATGAATGACTCTATTTTCGACTGTCAGTTTTCTTGTGTCCTCTGCAAAATTGCTCGTGTGAAATTTGCATGCAGGCACGTCCTACGCCCATCCCCTCCTTAAAAGCAACTAACAAGGATGTTTTTATTTTGAACTTCTTTGGCGATTTTTCGTGGTTTTTGCCTTGAGCTCGATTCACTTAGCACTCAATAGTTCATACTTAAATTCTTAACCTCCTCCTTTTATTCTGGATCAGGACCACGAATTTACATGGACAGACATAGTTGACAATTTTCCGAAGAAAAACAGTTGTGATTCTGGGGTTAGGTGGAAGACGAGGAAAAAGAAGGAAGGCATCTCTCATTTATACCATTCCTAGGAACAGTTGACCAAATCAATCACTCATTAAATCACTCAAGAGTTTTTCTGAAAGTAGAAACCGATGTCACTTACCGGCGTTGATTCCGAAGAGTCGTAGTCCAGCATGAAGACATGCACGGTAGTGGGCGTTCACGACTTCCCTTCCGAACACCTTGTTCGCACCAACGCCACAGTAGTACGGTCCTGAATGAGCATAAGACTTTATTGCCGATATCAGTGCATTGGAAAAGTGCTCCCACAGCGCAAACTGCACCCACCTTGTGGAGCTGGGTAACCGTGTTTCGGCCATCCAAGTGGATATCCGTCCCTATCGAGAAGTAGATATTCTTGTTCCATACCAAACCATGGTTTCATGTGATCGATCTTCTTCATCACTTCTGCGCATGCGCTTCGATGATTCGTTCCTGAAAATTTCAATGGTAATGCACTCACTCGAATGGAAATGGAAGGATCATCCATGGGAAAGCACTTCATGTTCCCTATAAGCCAATAGAATATACGAAATTGAAATATACGAAAGTTGCAAAATGAACGAAAACGCAAACAAAGAGTGAATTCAGGTCTCCTGGAAGCCCCGTGAACCTTCAAGAGATTTCGTATGGAAGCAGTGCGTTGTTCAATCAAGCGAAGTACTGAACATAAAAGAAAAATTCCAGCCGCGTTTTGCTATGCGGTATAGAAGAAGTGCATCACCTGCCGACTTATACATATATTATGTGATATGATTTCTGACCACGCTCCCAGTCTCGGACTGCTTCTGAGAGATCCGAATCCCAAAAGACCGCTTCTGGAAATCGGAACTTCCGAGTATTGGATTTGTTTATCGACATTTTAGAGCTCATAGTATAAGAATCAGTCCAATTTTTTGGAGCGAATCAGTCTGGCATCTCTGACGACAACGCCTTTTAGTATGCTTTTTGTAAGACGTATGCCTTAGGTTCTCAGATTGTCGAGCAAATGTGTGCAGCCGCATTGTGGCCGCTCAACCCCGAGTTTTATTGTTAAAAGACTCAGGCTCAGCTAGCAAACATCATGAGCAAAGTTCTGAACATTTTCACTCTCTTCTCCTGATCCACACTCTCAAACGCCTTTGGCCAAGAGGAATTTCACATGGAACACTTTCTGCACATTTGTTCCACCGAAAAAAACGAGAAGGCAGTAAAGTGTAATGAATGACGAAGGACAGAATTAGAGTTCACAACATGAGCAAGCAGGTATGCAATGCATTTTCAACCTGCTGATGCTCAGAATTCATTCTGACTAAGAAACCTATATGAAACGTCAGCGTCGAACTTGCCCACAAAAAATTCGTTTTAAATGTGAAACTTTTGAAAATGGATGAACACTTATTGGAAATGAAAGGAGTGAGCAAGAGCACCCATTCGCCTATGTGCTCTGAAAAATTTTTGAGTCAAAAACATGTTATGCAGTGACCTTCGTGAATCAGACAATCACCACTCAGTACTATCAACGGCAGCGACCGGGGTCAGTGCGAAGGTAAAACACTCGAGAATTGGTCGCATTGTGCAACCGAATAGGGAGGGAAGC